TATAGAATCACTCCTTTAATAATCGTTAATCTGCCCTCAGGGCCCGTCCAGGTGTCCAGCAGCCGGTACCGCCTTTTAGGCCTGGATGTCAGGGAGGAGTCCCCGGTGAAGGAGGCTCTGAGTGCAGCAGGTCTGGACTGGGCGGCTCCCACCCTCATCCTCTCTGAAGTGGTGCTGACCTACATGGAAACCCAATGGTACAGCCCAGACGCTGAAAGAACTGCATTCACCAGGCTGTGAGGTTAAACCGCTGCTCGTCTCGCAGGTCGGACGCCGTCATCGGCTGGGCGGCGAGGCTCCTCCTGCAGTCCCTCTTTGTGATGTACGAGCAGATCCACCCCCACGATCCTTTTGGCCGCGTGATGCAGGATCATTTCCTAAAGCTCAACTCCACGCTGCACGCGCTGCAGCAGTACCCAGAGCTGTCGGCACAGAGACGCAGGTTCCTGGACAAGGCCAGTACACGAACACGCCGCCATCTGCTAACCACACAGGACACGTAATTTACTTTAAGTCTTTGAAAGATTCCGATCGAATAAATGAAGTTTGAATCCATCAATTTATTTTGAAGAGGCCGGCTGCTCTGATATTCTAATTTTACTCTCATTTATTCAGCAGTTTTAGCAACTTTGTTCCTTTTAAAAGGGCAAATAAATCCTCATGATGACATGTGAGGCTTTTTTGGATCTGGAGGGCCGGATAGATCGCTGAGGAGGGACAGATTTGGCCCGCGGCCCTCGAGTTTGACGCATTTTTAGACAATTGTTTCAGTGCTGCTGCTCCAGAACCACATGTGGTTCTTTGCACGCCAATAACAATCAAGACATAAGTAAAAATGTCCTAAATTAAGTGTATTTATCCTTAATTTGAGTAGGTAAATGAGATGATTTGCAAATGGAATGATTATTTTTACTCCTTAAATAAGCTTAAATCAATTACAATTAAATTACTTTTTGTTTTGTAAATGTAAATTGTCTTGTTCCATTGGCAAAGTATCTCACTTTCCTCCTCAATTCAAGGAAAAATTCACGTATTTTAAGAAAAAAAAACACTTATATAGAGTTCGATTTCTTCCAGTGTGGCTCCTCTACAATAGATCTTCATAGAGTGGCTAAAATGAATATAAAGTGTCAAAGCGTTAGTATTTGAATCAAATCTTCACAACAAAATGACATGAAAAGAACCAGAAATATGTTTTTAGAGATATTTGCTTTTGAATTAGCTTAGAGATTATTTTTTTATTCTTATTTTATAAGCTAAAAATACAAATAAACTGTTTAAGATGGCAGCAGGTTTCCTGTGGCAGAAGTTTAACAAAAATAATATGTAATTTTTTTTTAAGTCATGTAAAACTTTAAATTACTTTTTTTTAGCAGACTCAGGGAAAAATGGCTCTTTTGATTTGAACATGTTGCAGATCATTGTGTCACACTGCAAAAAATGAAAATCTAAACAAGTCATTTTTTCTTAAAATAAGTAAATTTGTTCCTTCAACTGAGAAGGAAAGTGAGAAATTTGGCCAATACAACGTGACAATTTACACTTAAAATAAGACTTGGCGTCTTATTTCAAGTGCATATTATCTATTTATCTTATTTAAAGAGTATAAATCCTTATTCCATTGGCAGATAATCTTATTTACCTGCTCAGATTAAAGGTAAATACACTTAATTTAAGAAGTTTTGACTTTTTTCTAGATAGTTTTTTCAGTTTAGACAGTCAGACAGAGCAGGAAAACCTTCAACATGCAGCAATATGGAAGAAAAACAGTTTTTTGTACATCGAATTTTAAACACTGAATTTTTATCTGGTAAAAATTCACCTGTAAAAAAATTGAGCTTCAAAAAATTTGCCTGCAAATGTGTCGACCTTTTGGCGAACTGAAGGCCAAACAATTCACACTGGGTGCAGTCGAGCAGCTTCTAGCCAATGAAATGAGCTCATTTGGTCACGTGACACGACAGTTGGGCGTAGCTTTGTTTTCGGCTGAAGAGTTTTTCTTATTAAATAGCTGATTTCATTGGCTGGAAGCTGCTCGACTGCATCGAGTGTCGATTGCTTTGGCCTGAGTTCACCAGAAGGTTGACACTTTTGCAGGCAAATTTTTTGCAGCTGAATTTTAACCAGATAAAAATTTTGTGTAAGGAATTCAATGTGTAAAAAAGTTCAGTGTTTAAAATTCGATTTAAAAAAAGGCAGATTTAAATGAGACTGATTTTCTTCCATGCAGGCAGAGCTACAGTGGAATAAATTAGATCAAAGATCAACTGATGCTCGTTTTTTATATTTAATTCTTCTTTTGAGCCGGATTATTTCCACATCAGTCTAACGGATCCCAGATCTGTGCTGCAGATGTTGCCTTTTCTTCTTTTACATGATGGCAACGATAACAAACATTACTCTAATCTAAATTTACTGAAAAGCAAATCAACATTTATAAACAAACTAAACATGCTATAAAAAAAAAGAGGCTGAAATCTTCCGAGTTTAGATCGTTCTGTCGATGTGTTAAAACGGCCTAGTCAAAGTCTGGAACCAGATTTAGGGGATTTATTTGAGCTAGATTTAGCCAGCTGGTGCTTTAGATGCTCCCCATGCCGTCTGACTGAACTAGGAGGGATTTTCTGCGTAACATCTGTATGATGTAGCTCTATAGATTCTTTCTAAACGTTGACTTTTCTTTCATATTTGATCTAAATGAAGAAACGTTGGTGAAACCTTTCTCTGTTTTTCTGTCTGTCATCAGGGCTGGGAGTGCTGTGCGTGTCTGGATATGAATGATTTCTATCTGGGGCTGGTCCCCCAGGAGGAGCGGGACCGAGTGGAGAGCCTGGAGCCATTTGACGAGCATGAGGTGAGCTGGTTCTGGAGGGGGGGGGGCGTCAGTGAACGCTCTGAGCGTGTTTGTTTCCGGCTGCAGGAATGGCACCAGAAGTGCTCCCACTACTTCATCCTGACTGCATCTCGCGGGGCGTTGATGGAGCAGGCTCTGCTCCCCCAGGCCTCAGGTAGAGACCCCGCCCCCCCATCCGTCCCATCGTCCCGGAAACCCTCTCATCCTCTGGTTTTCCTGTCTGCAGCGCCGTCCGTCGCTCCGAGCTGGAGCCCCGCAGCCCTGAGCGTGCGTCCGGTCCCGGTGCGTCTGGAGGGCCTGGGGTTGGCCTCCACCCGGATCAGGCCGCAGGTGGTGCTGCTCACTGGAGGGTCCGGCAGAGGGGGCCGGGGGGCGGAGACCAGGTGTCTCCTCAGAGGCCAGGGGGGGTGGAGCTCCACCAGAGTGGAAGCATCAGCAGATCTGGGTCAGCTTCTCCCCTCCTTCACTCTCCGACTGGTTTGGTTGATCTCAGAGGTTTGCTAAATCCGATCTTCATGGATCCACAGGAGAGAGACTCTATCACACCGTCACCCCCCTCCCTGGAGGAGCGCTGGTCTACGGCGGCCGCTCCTCCCCTCTCAGACCCAGCTGCGACCTGTTGAAGGTGACGCTGGACCCGTTTGCTCCGCCGTCTGCAGCCGGGTCAGCAGAGGAACAGAGGGTTCAGGTGGAGCGGATGGGCTGCACGGGCACCGCCCCCCCACCGAGATGGAGACACGCCGCCGCAGTGGTCAGTCACAGAGGTGAGCCAGAGATAAACACCAACATAATTCACCTGATAAAACCAGTTTCCTTGTGTCTCGTTCTGCTAAAGAGTTTGGATGATTAAAAGTTTCCCTTCGCTGCATCGTTGAGCGTAGCGGCTGCAGCCTGGGGGCCGAGGTTAGCCTGTGAACCCGCCTTTTAATGGGCAGCAAAATGCTGCTGATTCTACAAACAGGGTCTCCAGGTTTAGGATTCCTCTAACTTTAAACAGAACAATCTAAAAATCCCTGAACATCTGTTCAGAGGCACGTTCATAATTCTACGTTCAGACCGCAAAGCAGCAGAAGCAGCAAGTTTACAATCAAAGTCAATAGTCCACGCACAGCAAAAGGTCCTGCAGCGTCTGAGCAGCAGGAGCAGAGGCGCCTCATGAGCATCTGAGCATCTGAGGCGCTTCACCATCAGCAGCTGCTGGAGCTGGAAAAGTATAACATTAGCTGCTGGAGGCCTCATCAACCAATGAGAGAAGCTGATCTGGGAGCTGGCAGGGAGTCAGACGCAGCACTGCTGATGCAGAGCGCTATGATCACTCCTCTGAAACAGTTTATTAACGCCTAAATTGTTTTTTTCTTTTTCCAAAATTGGTTGTAAATTAAACGAAATGGAGCCCAGAATGCAAAGTTTGGTATATAAATCTGTTTTTCATAGTTTTTTTTATCTCTGAGATTCTTCCTTTTTTTTCTTTCAGTCCCTCCAGCCTGTTTTTGACTTTTCGTCTCCTGTTCTCGGATCCAGAACATCTCTCATGTTTTTCTCTTCCTGCAGACTTTCAATGCGGCAGATTTTACTTTTCTAATTAATTTTCAGATTTTTTTATTTATCCATTTTCTTCTTCTTTCCTTCTTTTGCCGTCCACGCCAGCTCTTTTCTATTCCTCCTATTCTTGTCCAAAGCTTAATGGCTTTTTCCTCTCCATGGTAGGCGGAGACTTCCTGTTTGTGTTTGGTGGGAAGAACCAATCAGAGCGGGTTCTGGGTGACGGCAGCTTCCTGAGTCTGGACCGGCAGGAATGGATGGAGGTTTGTTTGGCCTCTTTCTTTAAGTGCTGAACTTTGGTAGTCGGGTGACCGTCTGTATGTGATCCTCAGATTCCAGTAGAGGGCGCTGCACCGGCGGCTCGTCATTCTCACACCGCCTGCTCCTACCAAGGAGGCGTGGTCGTGTTCGGAGGACTGGGCCGAGGAGGGGAGCCTCTGGGCGACACCAGCCTGCTGGTACCGACGGAGCGAGGCTTTTGTTGGAGGAGGGTGGCAGTGCATCCCCCCCCCATCCCTCGGTCAGAGTTAAACCAAACATCCATTAGCGACACGAGATGCAGGAATCGAACCGACGACTTTCATGTCGGAGGCTCCGGCTGATCTGAGCCTCTGTTCTCCTGTTATCCAGGTTTTCTCACTGCGCCCACCTGCTGGGCGATAGGCTGGTTGTGGTGGGCGGAGTCTGGATGCATCCAGATGGAGTTCCTGGCGTCGCCGTCATCAGCCTGGCCGTAGGCAGCAGCGTGGAGTTCAGACTGGACACGGTCAGTGTTTACCCAGGGTTCTTCTGGTACGGTGGGGAGGGGCAGGAGGTGAACATGACTTTAACAGGTTCTAAAACAAACACGTCTGTGAAGTTACTGCTGGAAAAGCTCTTTTTTGACTTGACTTTAACTCTTTCATCCAAACAAACTCATCATGGAGGTTCTGGTCTGTCCTGAGAGGAGAAAACATGAACAGATGTGTTTATTACGCCTGAAGGATCGTTTAGTTTCCTCTCATGACCACATATCCCACCTGTTTAAGGTTGTTTTTTTCTTTCTTAACATAGATGGCTTCCTTCAGGCCCCTCTCAAACCTCCTGTCTTCTTTGTCCAAAAAGTGAACACATTTTGTGTTCTAGTGCAAAGCGTAGATTTAAAGGGCAGGCGTTCTTCGTACCCTGACAGTTTAATGGAGTAAATGTGTGGATGTGTTTGCAGAGCTCGGTGCCCTGGCCTCTGATGCTCCACTCGTTCTGCTCCGAGCTGACGGATGCAGAAGAACCGCAGCTGCTCCTCATTGGGGGGGGTGGGAACTGCTTCTCCTTCGGGACTCATCTGAACCCTCAGCCCGTCTGTGTGGAGCTCCGGCCTGCACTGGGATGAGGCGGCGAACCACAACCAGGATTTTTAAAGCGTTAAATCCTGATAATTTGTCATTTTTTACTGTTTGTTTCAACTGCTGTTTGTTTTCAATAAAATTGTGATTTTAATCCCAGATTTTTATGCATTAAAATACTTTTTTATGCCCATTTTAACACCTGATGATCCATTAAAAGACGAACCCCCTATAGAATAATGAACCCTGCTGTGATTGGTCAGATCCTGATTACTATCAGCTAATTAGTCTGATTATGTTCACATGTTTGACCTCAGAGTGATGATTACAGTAAAATAGAAGGAAAAACTTTTATTCCTATCAAACCTCAGTGAATAAAAACTCTGTAGACTCAGATTAAAGATAAAATCTAAGGGAAAGTTACTGATTCAGATCAAATATTTGCTTCTTCCTGTTTTCAAAAGTGGCTGAAGCTCCATCAGAGTCAATATTTAATATAAATGCCCTGAGAAATTAGACCAGTTCAGCTGTTTTGGTTTATTTAATATTTAGATGGGGAGAAAAGAAAACTCCCTGAAACATTCTGCAGAAGGTTGGGCAGCTCCAATGCTTAATGTAACGGGTCAACCTGATTAAAATCATTTATCAGCATATCAATGGGCCCAGTGTTGACATGAACCATCTAGAGATGGTTTCTGATTGGACGTTTAATGCTAACAGTGCAATGCTTCATGTGGATCAGAAAACAGTAGAATAAAGTAGAAAGTGTCTTTAGCTTGATGCAGATTCAGTAAGACGCCTTTATTATTATGAACAGCACAACGTTGGTTTATTTTCTTTAAAAAAAAATACCATCATTCCCAAACAACAGAGGCTGCAAAAGCATAAATGTTTTATCTGTATTATGGATGCTCAAGCTTTAGCTGGGGGCCCTGCAGTAGAACATGGTGGAGGGAGTGTGGTGATCTGGGGATGTTTTGCTCCCTCAGAACCGGATATTTGCTAAAGTTCACTTTGGTTCTGCAGCAGGACCACCTCTGAATAACGTTAGAGAGACAGAATGAGGAGTGGCCTGTAGTTAAAGTCCTGACCTGAATCCTGCAGCTTTAAAGGAAAAGTCGCTCATATTCAGAATTCAAACTTCTGAAAGTTCTTTAAATCTGAAATGATTCCATCCTGTTCAATAAATGATCCGTGTTTTTAATTCAGAGTAATTTTCATGTGAATGTGCTTTACTGGAGGCATCCATGTTTGTCAAAGAACACTACTGCCACCTACTGGTTAGTGACATTGTCACGGTGCGGTATCGGCTGTTGATCAAGTCCCAGTGCTGTATCTGGTGTTTGTCACAACGCGCTATTATCCAAGTCATCTTGAAAACATTCTTCTTCCAAATGTTGGCTACATATTACGGGTTTTTTCTCTGGCCAGAAGTTCGATGGCAAATCCTCCCTCTTCAAGTTGGCGATCCAACGACCAACCCGTCCGTGGAGGATCAGGAATCAGAAAGGTGGAATAACTCTTTTTTTTTCACTTTTACCCGATGTATTCCAGCATCCAGCTGCCATGCACGTGGGCATTGTCAGTTTCACTATAGCTCTGGTGAATTTCAATGGTGAAGTCCTCTGGAAATCTTCAATAATTGTTGTTGATTGCAGATGTGTCTAGTAGTTCCCATTGATTTAGCTTGGAAAGCGGGGAGAATGGCGCTAGGCTTACCGCACCGTGACGTCACTGCTGGAAGATGGCAGGAGGGAGGGGCTACTATATTTGGGGAAAAATGGCCGCTCCCAGACTCAGCGATCACAACAAAAATTGTTTTTATTTTTTTTCTTTACTGATTAACACTAATTTCATTAAATCACAGCAAACAGTTTTTTGGACCAACCAGAACCCCACAGAGAATCTTTGTTCTTCGCTGCTGTGCTGCATGTTTCCATGTTTCTTCACACATGAACGAAACGTGTATGACGGCTGGCAGCAGCTGAAAGGACAAACATCTAAGCAGCATTCCTGTTGATGAAAATGATCTCCGCAGCATGACGCTGCCACCGCCATGTTGTCATGGTAGCTCCTAGTGAGGTGGACAACTTCAGATCCTGTCGCCAAAAGTAATCAAATAAATGAGTATTTAATGTGTTTACAGTAGAAGTGTTGTCCTGTTAATTATTTTTGGTTCAAGAAGCTGAAGCAGCAAATATGCAAGGAAACTATTTTGATGTAAGAACAGGAAAAAAATTAGTAAAAATACTTAATTCAAAATTTAAAGAAATAAACAACAGAATATTAAACGCACACCCAGATGTGAAAGCAGCTAAAAACAACATTCAGAGATAACTAGTCTTGGAAACGAGGTGAATTTATGTAAAAGCTCTACTTGAAAAAGTAAAAAATAATAAAAATTAAAAAACCACCCCAACTTTCTGATTTTATGTGACTCTTAGCTTCATAAGCTGTGCTTCCTGACTGAAAATTCATTTATGACATCCCTTTATTATCAGCCCAATCAGTCTTTATTCTAGTATAAAAAATTCTATTCAGTTTATTTCTATAGCTCCAATTCACATCATGTCATCTCAGGTCACTTTCCAGTTCACCAGATCATCCAGGCAGATTGCATCGACTCATTGACTCTTCAGCAATCCCTCACACTAAGCATGCTTGTAGCGACAGTGGAGAGGAAAAACTCCCTTTGAACAGGATGTCATCAGTGACTTTGCCTCCAGAAAAGCCAGGAAGGGACAATTTTGTGGTCATTGTTGTACAATTGTGGGTGTTGCACAATTGCTGTTCTAATGTTTGCTTCCATTATTTAAGTATCTTTTTTTCATAACATCCTATTTTTGATTATATTCATGTTTCTCTATTTTTTTTAAAAGAATGCACATTTGCAAATAATTTATTTAATGTTTTGTAGCAGTTTGTATTCTGAAGTTTTAATAAAAGAGTCAAGTATTTTAAGTATAATTTATTTTGTATTAATACATAACCTAGCATAGTGTGACATTTGTGTAAATGGCTACGTTCACACAGCAGCCTGAAGTGACCCAAATCTAATTTTTCTGCCCATATACGACATGTTTCTGATCTTTTCATGGCAGTCTGAACAACACAGATCCGATTTTTTCCAATCCGACCCAGGCCACTTGTCTGAACAGCCAGGTCGCATTCATCCGACCTGAACGCCATTAATACCCGACAAAGGTCACTATTCTGCCTCTTGCTACACAGAAGCGGCAAGAAAAAGAACAACCAGGGCAGACGATGATGCGGAGAGCAGTATTTATGTTTAACCATATTGAAAAGATTAAGTTTTTATGGTTGGAAAAGACCCCAAAATTACCCCGAAATGCGCGCCGGCACATACATCCATGTTTACTTCCGGAAAAAAAGAGCATGCTGGCCTGTGACATCATTGCATCCTCTACTGCGCATGCGGGACACTTGCGTTGTATGACTGCAGTTCACACAGGAGATCACGTACAAGTCGCATATATTTATAAATATGAACGGCAACGCAAAAAAATCGGATTTCGCAAAAGGATCGGAATTGAGCATCAAGGCCTGCAGTGTGAACGTAGTCTATGATGTTTTTAGCATAGGTGATTCTGCGTGGTGAGAGGGGGCCTCCAAATCAAATTCTACTTTGCTGGCACTGATTTGGAGACACAAGTTTTCTCCAAGCCCTTATTGGAAAAAGGTTTGGATTGTTTCAGATATTTTTTATTAGTTGAGTTAAATTCAATTCAGTCTATTTCTATAGCAAATATTCACAACTCATGTCATCTCAAGGCAGTTTCCAGTTCACCAGATCATCCAATCAGATTGATTCAAAGTTTTCTAAGGAAGATCAGCTGCATCGACTGAATAGAACTGAAACAGCCGATTCATCTGTCCCAGTCAGTCAAACACACCTATTTAAGCAAAACATTTTTGTTGTACCATTTCTGAAGAAAAAAAAAAGATCCAGCACACAAAAAGTCCAAAGAGATTTTAGTTTTATTTTTACAGTTTCTAGAAAAGAAGGGGAGCCGACAAACAGCCCTCAGCAAGTCGTACTGCATCAGGAACTGGTATGAAAATCATCAGACTGGAAACGATGGAGATTTTCAGCTCTTCTTCTGGTGCAATAAAAACACTGATGGCCTGAAAACAACAATATTAAAACACTGTGCTGGTTGACAGCGTGTGTGCTTATTACTTCAACCTCAAACATCAACCGTCGCGTACAAAGATCAGCGTCAACGCTGGGAACAAAATCGTTTCATATCCGTACCTAAAGCTAAATCACTCACACACACGCAGCTTTAACACAACCCTGGAGATGATCCTTTGTTTATTACCAACAGATTCTGCGTTAGATTTGGAGTCACAGATCTACAAACGTCTGGTTTTGGTCTCATCAAGAGAAAAAATGGCCGTTTATTTAAACAAAGGAAAATCTGCAGGCAGGAAGGAGAAATGGAAACATCCCTCCCTCCGAACGTCGTCTTTCAAAGTTCAATCTTTATCCCACATTGAGATTAAGATATTAAAGGATAAGTTCACACAATAACTCTTTTCAAGGCATTTGGAGCTAAAAACCTCTGGATTAAAACCAGATTATTTAGAAATCAATTCAGGTTTTCAATTAACGGCTTAGTTTTACTAAGAGAACGAAGAAAGAGTAAAAGCGAGGCTACGAATCTGCAAGTAGGACGTGGATTTTATTAATAATCGACAGTTTTTGGTGAACTTATTCTTTAAAACAGCATAACTGGAATTATCAAATAGAAAACACTATAAAAAGAAACCACATGAAACAACAGCAAGGCACTGGACATGTTGGAGACGATGGCACGTTGCTGGTAGGCGGACACACAGAGGGCGGGGGATGCTGTGTACCTTTACATGGAAGTGCTGGCAGTATTTGTACCGTCATGATGAAGTTGATAAAAAGTACAAAGAACTGAGCTAAAGACTTTTTTTTAAATCACGTGAGACATTTTGGTCTTTTTAAATCTAAAAACTGCTGCTCTGAGTGTGCAAACGTGCACAGATGGGTGGTTTACACAGAGGGGTCAAAGTGCAGGGGGCGCAGTAAGACCGGAGGACGAAAACACATAAAGCTGTGTGATAATCTTATCGTTCATCCACACCTGCACTAATACTGCGTTTCTCAACAGGTACAGCCTGGT